CTGACGTACTGACCAACCTTTCCCAGTCAGAGGTGGAGAACAGTGATATTATTCGCAAGATGGAATATGATACTCGGAGAAGGGGACCTATTTATTCAAAATATTGATGACGTTATTAATAAGATTGAAGAATTATTTAAATATATGGACATTTATTTTGTGAACTGCATATTTTTTAGTTCTATGCTACTTATTGCGTATTTCCTGCCTAAATTTCGTTAAACTAAGTTTGAAATAAATTCTTGGAATAAATTCTGTTGAACTTTTTGTGAAATATGCCACAGTATTTTTCAAACCTCAAAATTGTTATCATATTCACCTACATTGAAGTCTGAAAACAAGATTCAACGAGAAAAAAGTTGAGTGATTAGAACTGCGCGCAATGTGCGAGTGACACCGGTCGGCCTATTGTTGCTTAAAACCGCCATGTTTCAAATCGGTCACCGATAATTATTAACGCAACTATATTTGAAACTATAGAGGATTATATATTACATATAATCATTTTAACAAAAGTAATGACATTAAAACATAGAAATATTAGTACACTGATCGGTGTCACCCACTTTTACGGTACGTTTAGTTTTGATTTACATGGTAAGAATGCAAGTGACGTAAGTTTCGTATATTGTGCTTCATTCATTAACGTAATTAATTCGTTTGAGTGCTTTGAGAGACATTTGAGAGCTCGCAGCTTCGGATCTTGGATCTTTATATCGACCAGACAAATTTACAATGTATGCGTGAGTGTATTTATGTATGTATGTCTTTATTTATGCATTTGGTATGATTTTGAAAAGCAAATATGTATAGAAAGTATTCTTTCTAACCAGCTTTTGAGTGCTTATTGCGGCTCAGCCATTCGACAAAATATGCTTAAAACAGTCTTAAGAGCTTATTTTTGAAGTCTCGATGTTTTCTCCCTGGACACCTGTATATACGAGATCAGAAAATTTGGAAAGATATTTCCACACAATGAATTTTATCATTTTGTGGACAATGATAACTTGCGTTTTTCTCTGTCTAAAATTGTATCTAGTCGTCATTACCTTTGCCAGTCTAGGATCATTTCCGCAATTTCATTCAATTTGTGTTAATGTTATTCAAGAAATAATGAGGCAGAGATGCAATGAAATGTATCTTTAACACGGTATGTATTTTTAACGCGGGCGCTGACATGATTTCTCATCCACTATATAGTCTCTACGTAAGGAAACGGGAAGGAAATTTCACACATAGTATTTTCTTAATTACAATCTTGCGCATTAACATAATAGTAATGGTGTTTACTCTTTTTACTGACTCCTCCTGATTCACCTGATTTTTTTCAACCTATACTCACATCTGTACTTGTTAAAATGTTAAATGTCACAGGCACTTTCGAATGTAAAAAATAACTCGAAAATTGCACTTCTTCCCCATAGTACGGCACACAGTTTTAACTGTTTTTTCGTTAAATATTAAATCAAATAAAATTACCATTTAATTGAATGCTTTTGGAGATTCTTGTACCCGCAGTAATATCATTCTTGGAGTACAGGATAATATTGATATTTGTATACTAATATTTTCATTAAACATTCGGTCATATAAACTAAAAATAATATATCCATAGATATTTAATCGAATTAACTGTCTAAATGAATATGATTCTTCCAAACGTATCATAAAATCAAAAATTCGAAAGAAACAATATTCATTTGACGTAACCTTTAATAAAATACAATAAAACCGTCAGTAACATTTGTAATGTTAAAATAACATTAGGATAATAAATTTTAAAATGAAAAAATAGTGCAATCTTTTATTTCCTACTTTCTAATTGACAAAATTATCGCAAGAAGTTCGAGTAAAAACGAAATAATGGATTTTTGGATTGTTTTTCCTTCATGTCAATGATTTCATCGCCAAAAGAAGAAAGTATTTTGACGAATCTAGAACCATTTTTACACGTATAAAAAGTCAATTTCTTCAGATCGCTTTTAACTAATCAACAATTTATTTCACATTTTCTGATTAGATTGGGGAAGGTTTTTTTATTTGGGATAAGGAAAGATGTGATAGCAATGTGTGTCAGGTTTACGCCTTTCAATTGCAAACATTTTGACTTGGTTTTGATTTACTGTTTCAATCCAATTTAGGTACCATGCAAATCGACGTCAATGCGGGAAATAACTTTCACATCCACAGAAACCAGCTTTCATTTGAAGAGCAGATATTAAGGATGCGTATTGAAAGGTTCCACATCTTGAAAAGTTAAAGGAGATGTTCTGAATAAGCAGATCTCCAAAAATAATATTTGGAATACAGCAAATGAAATATGACGAGGCGGTATCAAATAAACATTACAATAGCCAACACAACAGGACATTTATATCAACTAAACAAAACTCATACTTCGTTCTGTAACGTATTTACGATTGAGAAAATAAATGTTTCGAGCAAAAGAGTTTTATATGAAATGTTTCACGAATCAAAACTTTTAGAAAAATGAGGGACAAACATCATCTGACTGTCACAAGACAATGCTCCCGATGGTTTATACGTACCGCAAACACGGGTTACTTGCTATCAATTTTTCAATACTTTCGTAGTTTTTCCTTTACTAATCCTTGAAAAACAAAAAAAAAGTTTATAACTTTTTCGATAGATCTACAGGTTTATTGTGAAATACTCAAGAGTACTTTGATGAGATATATTTAACAAAAATTGCAAATAACGTTTTTTGAAAATTGGGTTCAAGTTACACTGCTGTGTGGGCAACTTGAACCCACGCGATGTTTTCGCACATGAAACCACTGAGATTTGCACTGGGTTCATGTGTTCCTAGGTTTTCTTGTACAAACATGAATGTAAATATAGTACAAACACGAAGATAACTTCAATAGCTGAAACACAATTTTTATACACATTTTTTAGCGGTAACTCTGGATTCCTAAAAAGTAATTCTACTCATTCTCGCCCTGGGAGATTCTCTTCGAAAACAGTAACAGTTGTGTTGCCCGTAGATAAATATGACATCACAATAAATCAGAAATCGAGTTCATCAATACGAAATATGAAATTACTGATTTGATCACGGTGCTTTGCATAGACTAATTTTTCGTCTTCAGTTCATTTTTCGTCAACATTTTTGGATGGCCCGGTTTCTGAATGGATTTCTTCTTCAGATCCCATTTTATAATCGATCGAATAATATGTTGATTGACGATAAAGAAAGCTTCAGCTTGTCTTTGTAACATTATTTCCGATAATTGCTGTCAAACACTCCTCAAGCTGATGGTTCATATAATCCGCATATTTCCGCCTTCAGGAAATCGTTTGTATTTGTGTACTATAACGGCCAGATTACTGAAAAATCAAGAGAAAATCACTATTGTTGAAGTTTTAAATATCGAAATAAAACTATTAACGCATTCACAAGATGAAAGAGAAAGTTTTGGGTAACTTGACTCCACTGTGAGCGGGGTTCCAAGTAGCCCGGGTTTTGAGATTACATGCTCACAATTAGGAAATCTGAAAAAAGAGGGAAAGCGTTCTACTAAGTTATCATAGCCGTTCTAATCACAAATATATCATTACCAAAATGATCCCTTGATCACCTACCATGAAATCCAGTGTAGATATAAAAGTTTGCAGGACTCAATTTTGACCCAAGACACTTAATAGAGTGCTGTAACTTACAACTATACCACCGAATTATGCTAAACGCGTTTAATGCTGTTCTGTGTTGCCATCGCAAGGAAGCAACTGCAGACTTAACAGGTGAATGCAATGTATAAACGACTTCAACCGTGGGTCCATGTAGTACCCTAAGAGATCAAGTAGTCCATGATGATGGTATTTCCATGATGCTACCAGTTCCTAACTCTTACAGCTATATTTGAAGTGCACGAATGATATTCAATAATTCACTATTTCAATATTATAATTTGAATGATGTGGATCAATGGTGGAATGAGAACAGGAGATGGAAGGATTTCGATAAAACTCAGTGAGAACCCGCTGTGTCCACCACAAAGTGCAAATGGATTGACTGGCCCTGATACAGTTGACGAGCGAACGGGCGGACCACTACATCACGTCCTATCCATGGGGGATTACAATAAATCTGTTTTTAGTCCTTGGTTGTTAGGCCGTTCCTCTTCAAGATCGTTTCAGAGACGGTGGAAGAAGTTCCAAATTTCACCGGTAGATGGTAGGCACGCTGGCGAACGGAAATGCTTCCCTCACGCGAGTTTAAAGGAAGTGTACGGTATCTCAGCAAATAAAATTACTTCGTTTTAATATGTCAGATTAGCTTAAAAATGTGGTCAAGAGTGTAATCATCCGCAAGTAGTTATAAATTCCTGGTAATTATTTCTTATGAATTTGCAATAAACCAGAGACGGAAATCGAATAAAATTTGCGATCCATGAACACTGGCAGAATGGAAAGGTGTGTACAAATAAAAAAAAATACAAACGGCTAAATACTTCGATGAGTTAATTTAACAAAATATTAATAGTTCTTATTAGATTCTACGAGACATGTAATCGGAAGGAGATAATTCGTAATGTGTCATCATATTTGAGACAATTTGCAAGAGATTAAAAGTTTGCAAACATTTCTAAGTTAAAATTTAATGATATTTGTCGTTTTACAGAGACCTCTTTCTGAACTCGTGAAATATGCATATACTCGGCGACATACGACCACATGATCAAAACTAAACCTGTAGAACTGTAATATTCTGTACTTTCTGCATGAGTTCGTTACATTTTCCAATCAAAATTTTCATATAACAATGCGTAAATATGTATCTAATATTCAATTAAACTATTATAAGCCACTGCGTTCTGTACCAATCTCTTTAGTTTTCACAGCATGAGCGCCAAGATAGTTAGATATCAGAGTCGATATCTTATTCTACATTCTTCCAAGAACTGATTAATTATAAATTCGAATATATTTTGGAGATGAACTGTAACCGATAGGATGTTTATGGGCGTATCTTTCACCTTCATTCATTCGACGTTGCTCTTCTGAGAAAAGTGATTTCTCGATTTGAGGTTGTTGCTCCTTCTCCTTGATCAAAAGGTTAGGCTTCGCTCGGGTTCGTCTCGGGTCCATCATTGTCCTTGTCTTCTTTCGCTCCTCCCTCTCACGCCGACACCCCAGCCATAAACTTTTCTAATTAAATTTCCGCTACAGCTGAATTCGTTCTGACGACTTCCGATGCTTTTATACCTCTTTATTACAGAAGGAAGGAGTTCAGTGCCCCTTCGTCGAATATCTTTACTGAGCAGACATATCTACCCCTGGTGTCATTAATGTTTTAATTTTTTTTAAAATTTAAGGTCGCATCAACTTCGAGGTCATTAGCGACCACTATTGCGTGTAACGGTATGGTAACTATAAATTTATTCAGTCAAAAAAACAGAAAAAACTGTATGTGACGTAGGGGGGAGATGATTATCAGCGCACGTTTTCTTGAGTTCCAGAATCCTTTTCCACTTCATCCTTTTCACAATCTCATTTGGTTTCCGATTTTTAACCTCGGTCAACGGAATGTTGTCGTAACATATCTTTTAATAATTATAATAATCATTATATTTTCTCTGTTACTGAATTTCACTCTCAAGCTCAACAACAAATGCTTAATATTGTGCACATTGTTAAAACGTGTAACTTGATAATGTCATACCTAAAACGACTGACAAGCGATGTACGCGAAAATATCAGTATCGAAAATTCATACCCGAAACATCTGATTTTCTAGCCGATGTTCCATAGAAGAAGATAACTGGAGAGAGAAAACTTTGAAAATTAACATGTAGGTCGGCGTGGAATCTCACGTTCCTGCATTGGAGAAACATTGCTATCTCTCGTCTATAACATCTACTTCACTACGAAGACACAACAATCGAAGAAACAAAGACTCACGAAAAATCGAAATACTCACTCATTCACGCAGCACCACGCATATCCTTGCGCCTCCATAGTCGACAGTTAAGAATAGGAAGAAAAGAAAAAAGAGAAACAGGGGAAGGAGGTGAAAGATGGCGAAAAAAGGAAATGACTAAGAGAAACACGTAAAGGAGGCGGGAAAGAAACTCGAAAGCAAAAACAAGGAATATGCATATAATCCAAAACAATTACTCAAAGGAAAAATATTCGCATTACTCCAAAACCCATCACATAGAAAATTAATGGCAGAATGTAGGGTAAATATTGCTTTTTAAGTAATCTGCATTTCACACCTCTAATTGGTATGTTATTAATTATATTAAGTAAAGATTAACTAGATGACCACATCTGTTGAATGTTTTTTGTAAGAAACGTTCCAGCAAAGCCCTCTAATGTTACAACCATTCACGTTACTGAGATCACATTTCGTCCGAAATCAATCGAAGTTGGAAGAGAATCACTGATATTTTCTAATTAGCAGCATCGTTCATAAGGTAGATTAAAACACTCGATTTTTAAAAGAGACGAACTTATATTTATGTAATATATGGTAGCATGCGCGAATTACACTCCACAATAACCATTACGTTCCTTTTGGAATCATTTTACGTGAATTTGCACGGCGAACCCGTTGTCTCTCGTTTTGAATGGCGTCGTTAGATTTACGAAAGCCGGCAAAAAACAACAACAACAACAACAAAACAAACAGAAATACGTTTTCTCTACTTCACTGTAAACGCCATTACCTGGCGGACAACTGAGTTGCAAAATTTTTAGTAAACGAGATAGACACATTTTTTATTATTACTATCCAATTTTCTCCAGTATGTTCACGTGAATTTGCCTTTAACTATTTATAAAACAAAATAACTTTTACTGAAGTTACTTTGTTGATGCCACAAATTTGACGATTATTTCTAAACGATTTTACGTCAACTATCTGCAGAAACGACGCGCCGGGAGGCAACAAATGTGTGCTCTGCACTCTCTATTTCATTCACTCTCTACGTGATGCAAAAATATCGTTCGCAATTTCTAGATTGCACAAATTATTCGTGTGTACCGCATTTTGAATGGTCGTTTAGGGCTCACAAAATGCGCTAGATATCATAAACTCATTAGTTTTAATATTTCTTCATCAAAAACAAACATATATAGTGTTGTTGAATATCTCTTCTCAATATATATATATACCGGCGGCGAAGCAGGGAAGAAGGAGTAGGGCGAAGGCCTTTTCTTCTAATTGCGATAGCTCGTTCCTGCGTACTTGTACAAAGCCGCGCGCCCATTTCGTTCCGCCTGACTTATCGCCCGAACGAAAGTGCTCAGCGCTATTACAGGAGGAGTCCAATCAAATCTTCGTGGGTCCACAATTGGGACAGCTTGTTGCCAGGGAGAAAGGCTGTCGAGAGACCCCACGTTTGGGTGGAGGGACTCGCGCCCACTTGCAGTAATGAATTGCGAGCTTGCATGCCGGCATTTACTTTAAAAGCGTTATCTATATAACATTCACGTGACTTGCGAAGCTGAGGATATACGTAAAGCTCTTACGAGAGGTAGTGAGGAGTTTGATTGGGATACAACGAAGAGGGTTGTTATTAGAAAAGGTCTTAGCGTAATTGCGGTTGCGCTGACGAGTTAGTAAGAAGAGTCACTTCGCCTTTAGGTTCATTTTTCAAAAATCAAAACTAAACTACCGCTCACTGGCCATGTGAAAGGTTCTCTGGTTTCGTTAGACTACCACAGCAACAATTTAAATACGACACATAGTTTCGAATTTCGACTTGGAAAAATGCAAAAATTTGATTGGTGTTATTCTGCTTATATCTTAGACTGCGCAAGACTCATATATTCAGTGTGTCCACTGCTGGTACAACAAAGCTGCACGCCGAGTGACCGCAAGGTTTCCAGAGGAGGGCGACATATTACGAACATAAACGAAAATTAACTTGCTATTCACATTTTATGGTTTGACCGATAGTACAGCATGTTTTGCTGGTGCAAGCTTACTAGTATATAATTGTATATTATTTAGCTTTTACTACACTAATTAGTTATTGAAAGCCTGTTGTTATATTTTTCATATTAAGCGACTAGCTGTATTGGATTTCTAAGTTTATATTTTTAATTTATCGTTTATATTTTTTGTTCGTTTAATTACTGCTACGTTAATGGTCAACGTTTTGCAATTATCTATACCACACACACCACACACACACACACACACACACACATTAATATATAATATATATTATTATATATATATATATATATTA